CACTATCGCCCTCTGCATTCATTTGGATTACACTATCGCCCTCTGCAACACCGAACAGGCAAACGTAGGTAGAATGTACAGCGTGCACGTAGGCGTGTGTGGATGCAGTGTTTGAGCTAAAACTAGTTAAAAGCTGATTGTTACAAATAAATATTTACAATTTGAAAATGCTTGAATTAAAGGATAAAAGAAGAAGACTATTAAAAAGTGTCACTGTGGAAGTGTGCTCTGGCTGTACTCGTGGAAGTCTTTAAAATATCTTTAGTTTCTTTGGAATCAAGAATTATTGCTGCTGATTTAATTTTATTCCTCATATTTCAGCCTCTCTGCACTCTTCTGAAAGGTTTATGTGTTTTATGTATATTTCTCTACTTTCTGCATGCACACACCCACACACACGCGCTCATGTTCGCACTGTTCTCCCCCCACCTCTCGCCCTCTGTGGACGTCTGTGCAGCTCCTGTCTGAAGCACCCAGGAAAGCTGCGTTTTGTCTTCAACGTGCTGGAGCTCCCAGCATGCCCTGGGAGGCCTGTGGGCCGGCGAGGCTTGTGCACCGGTTGGCTGTTTGACCTCGTCCATCCCTGCCTGGCGCTCCCTGGGAAGCTCGACTCTTCCGGCAGCATGCCTCTGCTCAAGGTACTGATGATACGACAGCAGAGAAAACTGAAGGTGGATTCTGCACATTTGTGGTTTTCACCATAGTGCTCATATTTGAAGGCACACGTGTTTGGGTTCTGTAATCCAACAGTGGCTAGAATGGAAAAAGACTTGATAAATCTAACAAAACACAGTTCTGCTATCCTTCTGTCACCATCAGTGTTTCTGAAGAACACTGAGGACGAGTGTTGAACTTATCGTTATTAAACTGCAGAACTGGCTGTTGGGGATTTGAGCAATGTTTTCTCCATGTTCTGTGCTGCCCTGAACGCTCTCCAAGGTGCCAGACACTTAACAATTAGCTCTGAGCCAGTTGTTTGTGTTGTTAATTAAGAAAAAACTTGAAGATGCAGCAAGCGTATCCTCTCCACCGCAGACTCCATGGAGTCCAGTTGAAGCTCACGTTTCCTCATTAGCATGTCTCAGAGAGCACTGAAGGCCCACAGAGGCTTGTCAGCACTTTTTGTAAATACTCTCATTATTTTAAATAATCTATAAAGGTTTCCGATCCTAGATTCCCGTGAGTTTGAGACCCAACTGCTCCTTTAGACCTCCTCCTGACCCGTCAGTGCCCTTCATCATGGTCGGACCTGGAACTGGAGTTGCTCCTTTCATTGGCTTCCTCCAGCAAAGGTATGATTAATGAATTTATATTGAGTAATTCAATATTTTTTTATTTGCAATATGCAAAAATGGTTTTCTTACTTGTAGATGTTGGATCTGTTTTGTATGAGTCCTGTGCTGTTAAATCCATCTTTTATCATCCAGAGCTTTTCTCCATGGTAATCTTTAGGCATCTCACAGTTTGGTTGGATTACAATTCAGAGGGCTTGAATGTGATTATAAAACAATGAATGCATTTTGATCATCGCCAATCATCCGGTTTGTGAATAAACATTAGGAGGACGCTGGTAAGCTTATTATATGTATCCTAAACTCTGTGAAACTAAAATTCAAACAGAGAATTACAAATTTACAAGTTATTATTATTTTCAAACTAATTTTATGTTTTCTTGTATAATTAGGACTGCACAATATTGTCTGTCAAAAAGAAAAGTACAGTTAGTGTAGTTGCTAACTTAACATTGAAAACTCCATAGAAAAGCTCAAGCCAGGTGATGAAAGCTGGACTTGATCACTGATTTAATCGGTGCATCAAGTTTAAAATCCTTGTCCAGCCTCACGCTCAGGTTAGCTGTTGTCTCAGTCAGATGTTTTGTTAAAGGACCCGTCTCATCATGGACTTTGGAACCATCACTGGGCTTAAACAACAAGACCTCAGTCTTTTCATCATTAAAATATAAAATGTTCTGTGACATCCATGCTCTGACTTCTTCCATACATTCTAGGAGATGGTTCATGGAGTACTGTTTATCTTGTTTTTTTTTTGGCACATAAATTTGGCTGTCATCAGCATAAAAATGACAAGTAATGCCAAGTTTCTGGAGAATATATCCCAGAGGGAGCAAATAAAGGGAAAACGGAAGGGGTCCAAGTATAGATCCCTGAGGTACTCCACATGTGAGAGGCGCTACAGAGGACTCCACAGTGCCAATACACACACAGAAGCTTCTCTCTGTTAAATAGGATCTAAACCACTGTAGAGCAGGACCCTGAATGCCCCCTCAGTTCTCCAGACGAGACGGGAGGATCTGATGGTCCACTGTGGTTGGGTCCAGCAGCATCAAAACTACACAGGGACCAGAGTCTGTGGCTAAAAGAGGTCATTAAAAACTTTCAACAGGGCTGACTCAGTACTGTGGTGAGTTTGAAAACTAGATTGAAACGGTTCAAGAAGGTTGTGCTCTTTGAAGTAAGATGTTAATTAGTTGTAAACAATTTTCTCTAAGAACTTTAACACGATTGATTAATTAATTCGTATCAACAACAACAACGCCACCAAGCTCTTGGAGTTGTTTTCTCAAAAATCGGCTCCATTTCCCCACAAATACTTTATTTTAGAGGCAAGAAGGTAAAGTTTACGTTTTGTTTCCAAAATGCTTTTGGCTTCTTCATTTGCAAACATATTTACACTGAGGGTGCTCAACAGGTTTCCATCTTATGAAAGATTGAGAATTAGTCACTTCTAGTAGCAGTAAAAACAGCTGATGGAGCTACCTTAAAACACTGAAACTTATAGCCAGAGTTTCTTTAAATATTTCTTTATATGTTGTTTAGTTTATAAAGTTATAAGCTGCTGGTCGTGTAGGAAGATTTAAGGAGTCGGCGGCTCATTTGGTTTTTCTTTACACTACTTTTAAACAATTCACAGTCCTTTTAATAAGTTATAAGTATTGAAAACATGTCAGTTTGTTGAAAGCTTCAATATATTTCCCCCTGCGATCGTCGAAAACAAAAATATTACAGTATTTTTGCATTAAAGTCTGCAGTTTTATCAACAGCTCTTTCGAGGTCAGTAATTCTACTTATTTGCTCACAGCGAGATATTTTAAACGGGTGTGCCCAAACTTTTAAAGCCCCATCACATAAAGGAGTGTTTTAGGAGCCCCATTTGGAAAATGTCACTGAAGAGAGCAGCCCTGTGCCGGCGTTGTGACTTTAAAAGTTAGCAGCTGCTCTAAAGTCATGTCGGACCTGGTGTATGTGCAAAGCGTGGCGCACGTTCTGTCTAGAAATGTAATGAATATTCACAATGCTGAGGTGGTGTGAAGTGCACGTCGTCGTGCATATTTCCAGGTCATCAGCAGAAATGTTAAATGTGACCCTGCTCAGAGCTGATGAAGGTCCACATCATGTTCGTCACATAAGGCATAATAAATCCAGCAGCGACGGCTGAGATCACGTTAGGGATTATTTCGATTGCGCTCCTCGTCTCGCTCGGAACAAATCAGTCCTCCTCCGATGCGCACGTTTACGACTTCTGGAATAAAGAGCAGGATTGAACGCAGCGCACGAGCTTTTATTGGTTCCAAGATAAAAAGAGCAGAAGGTGTCCGCCATGTTATTGGTGTAACTCACCGCCTGTAACTGCCTCTGAGGTGTTGTGAGGTCATCGACTGTCAGCTGAGTTAGTCCAGCTGGTTAAACAGCCACTGTTGGGTCTGTGCACGAGCGCAGCCGTTTAAAGCGAACGTGACGTTTGTTTAATTTTCTCAGCCTCGGTGATGATGGGTAGATGAAGATGACCTGTCAGGAGGATTTAACGTGACGGCTGCTCCGGCGCCCGGGCTGATGGAGCGTTTAACCACGATCGCAGCCGACACGGCGTGTCAGTGAGACTTCCTGTCAGGCTGACACGCTAAGTCTTGGGTGGCCTTGTGTAAATGAGGCTGCGCCCCAGTCAGGTCCAATTGTCTGTAAACGTCTGCGACGCTGAGCTGCGGTGGCCTGACGTCCTGTGAAGGAGTTTGATGTCTAGAAGGAGGCATGTGGTGTTTGAGCCTCTGGGATGGAGAAGCTCTGGAGTTCTTGCAGACAGACCCTTTTCTTACCAACGTCCAGAGGCACAACGCTCCGAGTCTTTTACCAGAGAAACAAACATCACGCTTGTTGTTCCTCGCAGCAGAGCCCAAGTCCCGCTCTGACGTGCACGTGGAAGAGCTTCATTAAAGCACGACGCTCCCACAACCGTTGACCGTGGAGGCTTTAGTTTCATCAAATACTTCCTTCCAAGCTCAGTGTTTATTTTTATAAAATTTCCTTCATTGATTTTTGTGTCTTTTTATCTCGAGCAGCTCTTCAGTGTTACAATATGAGGTCGTGCATCGATTCGTCGGCTCTGCCCTCTGCCCGTCTCCGTGTCTCTGCCCTGCCAGCTGCGTTTTGTGCTCAGGATTATATGAAGCTGTCACGGCGTGGCGTCGTGCACGCCTGTCGCTGACACCGCACTCCGACAGGAGATAACAATCGCCGGTTTGTCAGCGGGACGCCATATGAAGGCACGAGACGGTCCTGTTTCGCAGCTAAACAATACGAGGACGCTTCGATCTCCCGTGACCCCCACCCCGTTAATCAATGACGGTTTTCAAAAGTACTTTGTTCGAGTTTAGAGTACAGGTAACACTTAAAGAAGAGCCTCTAAAGGGCACCTGGCCGGGCCTGCAGATTATAACAAGGCTCCCCAGCCGGCTGGAATCGATCGCTGTTTGTGATTTTATGGAAAATGTGATTTTCTTTGTCGCTCTGCCTCGCTGCGAGCGGCGACAGCTAAACAAATAATGCTTTTATACCAGAGGTTAGCCTTAATCTGCTTAGCAGGAATTAAAAGCCTCATCCCCAGAGAGACAAAAAAACCATCAGATTAGTGAAATACTTGGACGTGCCCAAAGCTGTGCATGACTCCTTCATTACGACAGTTTGTATTAAAGTTGTGCGACGCTTCCATTATTCAGCCTGAGCTGTCAGCTGACAGGAAGTGATTCTGTGGTGCAGGTACTAATCCTGCAGCTCGATGCGTTTAGGGTTTGTTTTATTTGTAAAAGAGCCATTAAGCTCCACTCTCACAGAGCTGCAGAGATAAAGATGAGCTATGAGATAATTTTGATGTTTACCGAGTTTTAACCTCGGCTCCTCTGCAGTTTCCCCCTCCTGCTGATCGTCTGAACGCTGCTGATTTAGACCCCAAACGGAGCGCTGCCTTTCCTCCTGGGAGCGGGCTGCTCGCTGTTCTGGTGCGTCCGTGTGATGTGATGTGATTTGTATTCAGGGAAGGCGCCGGTGTGGTCTGCTCAGAATGGAACGCAGGTTTTTCATATTGGTATTGATCCCTTCAGGGCAGGCGGCGAGAGGAGAGAGTGCAGCCACTAAAATGAGTTCACTTCAGGCTGTTTTGCAGATCAGAAGAATCTCGTCCAGGATGCTAATGGGTGGGATCTGAGCGTTCAGATCAGGTCTACGAGACAGCTTTGTTACAAACATGACGTTCAAACAAAAGTTGTTTTTTTTAACTAGTTAACTTTGCACGCCATTAACGGGAGCAAAGCCTCGTTTTAGTATTCACAAACAGCCGCCTGCATCGATTTGTTTTTCTTTCTGAGGCTAATTACTGTCGAACTGAAACGAAAAATGGATTCTTCTGTTCATTATTTTATAAAATGTTGTAAATCTGTGTCCTTTAGTCAGAAAATGTCAGAGGTAGATGGATATGTTAACAGCCCAAGGTGCTCAGAAGATAGTTTATAATTACATATTCTTGCATTTGCTTTGACAAATGATTTATTTCTGGAATTTGTTGTTTATTTTTGAACGAATCCGCCTCAGATTCATTTTAAAACCTGTTTGGATTTTTGTTAACCAGTAACAAAACTGGGGAAATTACCACCCGAACAAGCAACTTTGTGATGATCTAATTTCAACAGACGTCCGTTACCTTTTTTACCTTTGGTTTTAATGTTTGTATTGATTGTACATGTAAAACTCTTTCTAATGTCCGTTTCTTGAACCTAGTTGTTTTTTGTTCAAACGCAATCTTTTGAATTTCTTTTATCTTTAAATCCTATCAGATGTCATTTGGGTCCAAACCACTATAAAAATCAGTTATAGTTCCTTTACGTGTGTAGTCTGATTTATTTGGGTAGTTTAAAACCAGTGAAAATGTTAGAAATGTTTTTTTCTTTACCAAGTGAGGAGTACCGCAGGGGTCCATCCTCGGTCCTCTTCTCTTTTATTTATACCTGCTGCCACTAGGTGCTGTTTTTCATAAACACGGCATACCTTTTCATTTCTAGGCCGATGATTGTCAAATTTACTTCCCTCTGAAGCACAGTGGCACACAACCTATCCAACCTCTTCTTGACTGCCTGGCTGACATCAGGGACTGGATGGCTTTAATAATTTTTTTTTTTTTTTTTGAGAAAAAGACTGAAGTCATGCTGTTCCCACATAATGACACAATCAAGAACCACTGTATCAACCTTTCCTCTCTAGCCCCTTTAGAGAAACAAGTAGTCACTAATCTGGGAGTGACAGTCAACATGATTGTTAAATCCTGTTTTCTTTTTTCCCCAGTTGATTCAACTGTCTAAATTGAAGCCCATACTGTCCAACCTTGAGATAATAATACATGCTTTAATAACATCCAGGCTTGATTACTGAAATGCACTTCTGTTTGGACTCAGTCAGACCTCCACTGCACAGTTACAACTGGTCCAAAATGCTGCAGCCCAATGCTTAACTGGTCCAGGCACAAGAGAGCACATTACTCCAGTTCTGGCCTCCCTTCACTGGCTCCCAGTTCACTTCCAAATTAATTTAAAATCCTTCTATATGGCTTTAAATCTCTGAACAGTTCTGCCCCCTCCTATCTCGCTGATCTGCTGCAGCCATATGTCCCACAGCGCTCTCTGAGGTCAGACCAGATGCTTTCATTGGTTCCAGGAACTTGTTTTAAGCTCAAGGTGACAGAACCTTCTCTGTTGAAGGTCCAAAACTGGACTGAGTTACCACTGCAGGTCAGGCAGGCTCCCTCTCTCTGTTTTTAAGTCTCGTTTAAAAACTCACTTTTATTCCCAGGCTTTTGACACTGTGCCAGTTGTTTTTAACTCGTCTGTATTTTATAATGTTAGTCATTTAGTTCTGATCTTTACCTCTGTGGATCTATGTTTTATCCTGGGTCCTTTGCTTGTTTCTGCTGTGCAGCACTTTGGTCGACCTTGTTGCTGTTTTAAGTGCTTTATACTGTAAATATAGTGGTATGATAAGATGCCATTTCAGCTACAATTTATTCCAGTAACATCCAGTTTGAAATTTTATTTCATTCCAATATGTTGGCTGCAGTTAGTATTTTGTAAAAATTGTCCAATGAAGCAGAAACCGTTCACTCGTGTCTGAGTTCAGAGGAAGTGGCACCTTCATACGTCGTGCAGCAGAACGGGCTCAGCGCTGCTTCTTGGTCGGTCACGTTAACCATCCATCCTCTCTCCAGAACATAGGTAACAGATAATGCTGGGGCGGGGGACTTTCAGCTGACTGATAGCATCATGAAAGGTTGGGGGTCAAACGCTGTTATCTGGAGGAGAGCTGTCACGTTTGCAGCAGGTGTGTGGCACAGATAACCACGTTCTCGCAGCCTCTGTGTGTTGGCAGCAAGGACGTTTGGCTGCTTTGCCAAACTCCAAAGCTAAAATAAGAAACACCTTTTGGGGACAGTTTTCTGAACTGAAGTCACAACAGTCAGACACACGTGTGTATTAGTGACACACACATTAAACCCCCGTTTCATTTCCAGCTGCAGTGATGGGATCCATTCTGTTTGGGTGCAGTTTAATGACATGCAGCTATAATGCCCTCGCTCATGGCCGCCTGGTCGTTTCTGCGCTTTAAGCAATCGTGGCGCTCAGTTTGCTCTTACTCCAGACATTCAGAATAATTTCACTCCTCCTTTTTTCACCTCCGCTGTGAGGAAGGACTCGCTCTCCTCCATCTGCTCGTCTGTCACTATTGATTGACTGCTAACATCCGCTGTTTGACTTTCAGAGAGGAGGAGAGGAAGGAGACGCCCGAGGCCACGTTTGGAGAGACCTGGCTGTTCTTTGGTTGTCGCCACAGAGACAAAGACTACCTGTTCAGGTAACCTGCGTGTCCTTTCAGTTCATCCAAGGTCAAATGTTTGCTTCTTATATTTAAGAAAAATAAATGCACACGTTTGTGCTCAAAACAATACGGCTCAGTAGATTCATCATTTATTTCTACAGGTTAGTCCCATTGAGCCTCGGGGACTCATTTACCAGAGACCTGATGAAGTACTGTGGATGGATACTAACAGCTGTTGGTTTTATTTTTAGAATTCATTTTGTTCCTAAAAATCTAGATTTATTTAACTTAAAACACGAAGTAAATCACTGAGGCTCTGACACAACTCCATTTTTTACAGCTGCAAATACATTTGTCTATTAAGGGTGTAACATGTACTGGGACCTTGATGGTTTGGGCCCACAGATTATTCAGATGCAGCAGGGGAGGAGGTGATGAGAGGGTATGGCAAGCAGTTGAGTCAACTAACTGATGCCTTAAAAAAATATAGTGGCAATCCTATAGAGGTTTTTTATTATTAATTTAAAGGAATAACTTGTTCAGTGCTGTGTAGCTTCTTATTCTGCATCAAGTCTGCGTCAAATTATTGACTGTTTATTTACAAGTGGCAAAGTCTTTATTATCAAAGAGGGACAGTAATACAGCACTTTTTATTTTTCAGTGAAATTACCTGTTGACTAATCCTACATTTGTCACATAAGAGAATTAGGCTCAGCGTGAGTTTGTTCTTTCATAATTTTGAAAAAAATAAATAAATAAACTACCCCTAACCCTAATCCTTTTCTTTACCCTTCCCTATAACAAGCGTGGGTTAAAATTTCTTGTTCTTAAAAACAAAAGAAGAAGAAGAAGAGGAAAAGTAGCATTTGGCAAATGTTTATTTTTCTTGTACCAAACCTCATTACAAGATGCATACTGACCCGTGACATGAACGTCCTGTTACAACACTGTTGTCCACGCAAACAACAAGAAATCTGAAATGAGAAATAATGCACGTGAATATTTGTCCAAACCTCTTTACGTCGTCTACACTGGAGCACTGAAGAGTTTTAAAGTTTGTAAAAATGGACACAGCTTGTGGATGAAAGATGCAAACACAGAGAGTTTGTCTTTTCAAACTGGAAAGTTATCTCGTGAGAAAATATTTCTTATAAATAAAATAAACAGTCAATACTAGTTTGTTTTAGTGTTGGAATCTGCAGGGCCTTAGATGAAATTATAAAATTGTATTTGTATATTTAATAACTGCTCGTAGTAACAAGCTTTCACACCTAATCTTTACTGCTCGACTTGCTCAGGTAGTAACCAACGGGTATTTGCAAAAATAAACAAAGTAAAATGTGTTCAATGCTTTGTACTCCATTCCATCTGTAAAACATAAAGTTTACAACCAACTGTTGGTGCAGCATTCATCGTTCAGCTCATGCTGAGCAGGTCCATCAACTACAAAGTGGAGACAGCATTGAGTTTTAATTTGTTATCTGGACACGAGCCTGACTCCAAATGAATACCAATGATGTCGCACTTCTGGTGCTGTTAGCGCGCTAACTTGAGATGCCAACGAGGTTTACAGCTGCTGCTGCAGGAAGCTGTACTCAGAGATTAAAGATGTAACCGTTTCAGATAGAAGCTGGGCTTAATCACAACTCTGCTTTTTATTGGCAGGAAAGTTCTCGCTCCGACACCAGACTGGATCGTTTGGGTCTGATATGGGGGGTCAGTGTTTCTGTTTAATGACTGCGGGCTCAAAAGACTGCAATGAAATCACTATGAAAGCTAAGAAGTGGCAAAATCTTTATTATCAAGTGATCGCCATCCATCCATGCATCCATCCATCCATGCATCCATCCATCATCAGGTCTCGGGGCAGCATCTTGAGCAGGAAGGTCCAGACATCTCTCTCCACAGCCTCTTCCAGATCTTCTGGGAGGACTCCAAGGTGTTCTCCCTCAGTTGTCCTGGGTCTTCTCCAGGGTCTCCTCCCAGTCAGACATGTCCAAAGTGCCCAGGGACCATCTTTACCAGATGAGCCACCTCAACTGGCTCCTCTGGATGTGGAGGAACAGTGGTTCTACTCTGAGTCTCTCCTGATACCTGAACTTCTCCCCCTGTCTCTAAGGGAGAGTCCAGCTCTGCAGAGGAAACTCATTTCAACCTCCTGGATCCACGATCTCGTTCTTTCAGTCTCTACCAGAGTTCATGACCAGAGGTGAGGGGAGGAACGTAGACCGACCAGTAAACAGAGAGCTTTGTCTTACAGCCCAGCTCCCTCTTCACCACAACGGACCAGCACAGAGTCCACAATACTGCAGACGCTGCACCAATCTTTCAGTCTCACGCTCCATTCTTCCCTCACTCATGAACAAAACCCAGAGATGCTTGAACTCCTGCACTTGAGGCAGAACCTCACCCTCTACCCGAAGAGAACAATCCACCCTTTTCCATCTTCTGCTCCTGATCCTAAATTCCCACCTGCACGGATGTACCTTCGGACCAGTTTATTTTGGCTTCACTTTCTTCTGACTTCATCAGCTCTTTTTGCGTCAGCACCAAGCGTTATTCAACACCGGCGCTCTGATGGAGTTCTTTTGAAGGATTTAATTGTGCGAATGGATTAGCGTCCTTAATAGCACAAAAATAGATCACAGAGGATTCTGTTTGTTCCCCTCCGCTTCTTCTGTCTCACACGTACCGTCTAGGTAGTAGCAGCGTTTGTTCGCAGTGTGGGCTTCTCTGATGCGTGCCCCCACGGCGTTGACCGAAGTGATTAGTCTGTATTTTATAAACCACCCGTGAAGAGTTGTACTCAATTTAAATGGGTTAGCAGAATGGGAACAACATGCCGTCGCTTGAAGTGGCTGCCCGCATTCATCTCTGTGGGACTTTTTTGTAAAGTAAGTGCAATTTGATGTCTGCCTCGGACTGCAGTCCTCTTCAGCACAGTTCATCCTTTTTCAGTATTTACGTCATTAAAAAAAGTTGATCTGAAATCAGAAGGGGGTGCAGTTATATTAAATATCATCACAATGCAATGTGGCGCAACGCTTAACGTGCGTGTAAGAGACCGACACAAACTCTGTGCTGCTCTTTTACCTCGCCGCCGTCTCTCTCGGCCTCTTCCAGCTTCTGGTTTCAGGCTGTGGAGGAACCTCGACGAGAAGATCCTGCTGAGCTCCTGCTCGGTTCTTGGACACAAGTTCAAACAAGTCGAGGAACCGGACATGTTCTAGCTCTTTCTGAACACTTAGCTTCTTAAACGACAACTTCTTTTACCTTCATCGAGTTGTGATGATCATTTCAGAAGAACGAACTCTCCTTTGGCTTTATTTTTTTGGTATTCAAGTTACTGGCTTTAATTTTTTTAACTGAGAAGGTCATCACTCAGACGGCCAAAAGGATGATTTATTATTTTTAATTGACAGACCAATCAACAGTTCGTTAAACCTCCTAGCAGAGGCAATAAATTAGGATGTTTCAAGTAAAACAAGAACTGCGAGGCCCGTCTTGTTTCACGCTGCAGCATCCGTGTGTTATCAATGTTTTTCAAAATAAAAATAAAACTTATTTTAGTCGAGGGGTTACTGCAAAACAAGAAGCCCTCGAGGCAAAGACCTTCACCCATGATCTCAGAGCTGCAGCTTGTTGGGTTTCAGCGTGTGTGTGTGCGCGCGCCCCATTAGACTCAGCTTTAAATAAGATGTTCTGAGCCTCAGTAAAGCTCAATCCCTCACCAACCTCTGCTTCCAACAGCACCCCAGGCCCTGCAAAACCACGAGGCGGTAGAAGAGGAGGTGAGCGGGCTGACGGGGAACGAGGTTACTCACAGCTGCAGGGCTGCGAGGATTGTTCAAACAGGAGGTTCATCTCAGGGACTAGATTTAGCTGGAGACGTCTGTATCCTTTTACACTTCTCTTGTTGAACAGCACGAATTGATTGTGAGGCGCAGAGATCAGACCTGTCTGTGCTTTTTATTTATTCACATGTGAAGTTTGTAGAGTTACACAGCTGATACTAATTAAGCTATCAAATACACCTCCCGGACAAAAATGATTCATACGCGTAGTTCTGAATGTGTTCTCCGTGGGATTATGGACAAGTTTCTCAGTCACAGCAGCTCATTTTGTCTGGAGTTGTCTGTTCTCCTAAGATCTGTACCACTGATGGGGCAGTCACTTTTTAGCTTATCCCATAATTCTCTGTATGTCTACAAGAGTTGTTTAGATGGTTTGAAGTGTTTTTTCTGTGGGAATGTTATGAACAATTATGGTCTTACCCAATGTACACGGCTTTTTGAAGGACCACGGTTTAGAGAAATAGTTGGACTGGATTGACAAGGAGTCAAGACAAAATGGATCTCTGCCAACTTTAGACAACTCCAGTCTTTAATATTTCATGACACGAAGGAAAGTTCAACGGGGTAGAAGGACCTGTATTTAACAGAAACTCAAACAGAGCAGTGGTTGGAGATTATTGTAGCATTCTTGCACCCGTTGTTGTAGCTGTAGGTGCAGACACCACCACCCCGAGCTTTCAGCTCACGGTCCAGCTGGAATGTTGTTAGCCGCTCCATGCTAACAGCCACGTCGGAGCTGGACGGGGTTAACCGTTTCCACCAGAATCAGAGCACAACAATTTGTACCTCTCTCGTTGCTAGCTCAAGCTGAAGAGAAGTCTCCCACCCCCAAGAGAGCTAATGAGCAGGAGAAGTGGTGTCCTCCATGGACTGACTCTCAGTTTAGCTTTTGACCTTCCCTGGCCGCCATGTTTCTGCTTTCAGTCACACCGCCTTCGTTTTACCTCGTAGACCCTCCGCCATAACCAAGTTCACTGATCCACGGCTGAACGTGTCGTTCCAATAAGGTCCTGGAAACACAACTTAAGCCCAGACTGCTGGGAGACAGCGCAGCTGCAGCCGGACCCAGCGCCGCCATCTTGGAATACTAATTAGGCCTTCACCATACATGACGGACTTTAAACAATGAACAGGAAGAGCGCTTCTTTGTTTAATTTATAGTTTTGTAACACACTTCAGTGCTTCCCCTAGATCAGTTTTTGACCGTTGTCTGTTTGATCTGCGTCACTTTTTTCTGCTGCCGTGGCAGAGTTATTGTGTCTGGTGGTTTTTCCATTATTTTGATGGTGTTTAAGGATCTTCGTTAGTTCTTATTGCCTTCTGTAACGTCAATTAGTGAAAGTTCTTAACGATAGACGTGGGGTGGGTGTCGGGGAGGAGCCCAGTACGTCAGTAGCTGCCCTGCGCTACCGACAGTTGTCGACCCGGGGCTCGGGGGGGTTCTGTAGGCGCTCGGTTCTGTTGACGGGGTGAGGCGCCCTGCTTGTATAATGTTAGGGGAAACACTGCACTTGATAACTTTATGGTGAATCGTGGGGGGTAGAAAAAGACTGTTTCAAGACGTCAAGAGTTAAAACAGGTTTAAAAGCAGCTGTTTGATTCTTGGGGTGAATGAAGCTAAAAAAATTCAGACAATATATCGGTTATCAGCGTTAGCCTTCCCCTCCCAATATTGGTATTAGCGATAGCCAAGATTTCCATATCGCTCGGGCTCTACCTATAACGCTGCTTCTGCAGGTTTGTACGATCGATGTGATGTAATGAAGAATGCAGCACTTCATTCACCTTTCTTTGCTTAAATCCAGTTTTTAAATAACTTGCAGTTCAATACTTAACGGGGTTTAAATAATTAGAGCCACGTTATTTTGTTTTTCATTCAAACAAATCAACACATGATTTTATTACACTTTAAGTGCTGTGACGTATGAACGTCTTCTCATTGAAAATCATATTCCTTACGAGAGAAGCAGCAAGTCAGATGTTAAAAACTGTCCTGACGGAGATCGTCTTTATTTTCCAGAGAGGAACTGAAGGACCTGGTGTCTGGCGGCACCCTGACCCACCTCAAAGTGTGTTTCTCCAGAGACGACCGTGGGGGTGAGGAGGCCGTCACCTCAGCAGCTCAGCCCAGATACGTTCAACACAATCTGCTGCTCAACTCCCAACAAGTTATGGACATCCTGTTCAGACGGAACGGCTCCGTCTACGTCTGTGGGTAAGATGAAGCAGATTTGATCCTCAGCTCATCCGGCATGAAAATGAGTTCTTGTGGCTCAATGAGACTACCTGTATAAATAAAGGGTAAATGAAATGTTTCTTGCTCTTTTTTACGTTCGTCCCAGTATCCACCTGCTATAAATGTTTCGTGTTCTACTTCTTATACATGCACGGCAGAGCACCTTAGTCTTTGCTTTTCCTGGCCTTTAAGCTCTTTACATGCATGGACTACTTTTGTCAGATTATCTTTGGTCTCATGCATCGACTTGACCGTGAAGACAAATTCCTCGTGTATTCAATGCTACATTAATCACAGGATCTATTAGGATAAATTAGTTTTACACGATCGATCAACTCAACATGTGCAGCGCTCGACATAAGGACATAAAGTGTTCACATCAGCAGCATCCTGAGAGGAAAGATAGAGTTTTTAAAAGTTGTCGTTGATATAAATTATTACACAGTCTGACTGTGGCACGAGTCTTTCATCTTATTCAAACTCTGGAAATATGTTTTACTCTAAAAACAACAGCTGGAAGGGATAGTTCCAATCTGAACAATTAATAATTGTAAATGTAGTTTTGGAAAAATCTCTGTTTGGAGAAATGGTTTTATTTTGACCAGATTGTCGTCCTTCTTGTTTCCTTTATTTATATATATATATTTTTTTTGTGGCTTTCAGCTCTAAAAACAGCTAAAATGTTCTTGATTTAATATAAATACTGGAGGAAGAGCCTCGGGCTACGCTGGGAGTGCTACAGCTAGTCAGCTCCTGTTAGGGCCATTTGAGATTGCAAATAGAATTACATGTTTAAAATAAAATTAATGCAAAACCAGTGGTGATGTAAAGGTTATAATCTAATGTTTACATGAACTGCTTTAATGTTTTTGAGATCAGAATGTTTGTTAACAGCAGAAATCCACTTTGGACTCGACTAATCTTGGACTAGCCTTTAACTTGTAGATCTGGTCAGAATTAAAATTTTTTGTTTCCTCAAACAGGTTTTTTCAAAGTTCCATCTACAACAGGTAAAATGTTATTTATTCATTACGCTAAGAGCTGAACTATCGCTTTGATCACAGAAGTTCAGATTTATCTGGTCAATTTAGACTGCGTACAAAGATGATTATTTGGTATAATTATTTTAAACCAAACGTTATTTGAAGCTCGTTAAAGAACAGTTCCTCTGTGTGTCTTTTTCTGAACCCTCGTTATCCCAGAATGGCTCCCAGACGCAGAGAATCGGTGCCCTGTGGTGGCCTCACCATCTGTGCTTTCCATTCCCGTTCATCTTTACAGCAGCAGTACCCATGTAGAATATAATTAAAGATAACTTTTCAACATTTGATTTAGTTGATTTCTGCGAAGTAGAAAAGGAAAGTAATTGCTCCTCTGTAAAACGAAAACTTTGTATTTTATATAAACTGTTTAAAAAACATCAGCCTTTGTAAGAAGAACTCATTTCAGCAAACGTCCTTCACGTGGCCAGGATAGACTGATGTGGATAAAACTGAAAGTTGTAACGATACTTTAAAAAAAAAAATGATTCAGTTATTAGCAACTGTATGATTTATATCTGTGTGATAAAGAAACAATGTAAAAATTAAACTGCTGTTTACTTTTCAAAGATATGTTAAAATAATATGGACAGGGTACCCTTTAAAAGAAATTTTTGCTTTAGAGTTTAGGGGTTCCCAACCCTGATCCCTGCGGAACGCCATCCTGCATGTTTTAGTTGTTCCTCTGCTTCAACATGCCTGATTTAAATGAAAAGTTATTAACAGGCTTCTGCCAAACTTAAGGAAGTAATTAAACCACTGAGTCAGGTGTTAAGGAGCAGAGAAACCATTAAAACATGCAGGATGGTGTTCCTCAAGGACCAGAGTTGGGAACCACTGCTTTACAGTTGTTAGTCACATTTTAAACTAAGGGATCAACCTTATTTAGTATAACAGGTGACTTTAAGCTTTTTTCAGGCATTCAGCCAATTTAAATGGAACAAACAACCACTGGGTAGTTATGCATCTTTGTGTACACCTCTCTGAACAAGGAGCAGAGACCAGAGCTGTCTGAGGAGCTCAGAGAAGATTATAGATGTTCACCATAAAGGCTACAAGACCTCTGATCAAAATGGCCAACGTTACTTTAAAAAAGTACAAGCTTCCTGGGACTGTAGCCAACCTTCTAGAATGTGGACGCAAAACGCAATGCCACCCCAGGTTGATCAGGCAGGTAGTGAGGATTGTAGGAAAAGAGCCAAAGAATCCATCTAAACCGTTCAAAGTGAACTCTAAGCTCAAGGTTTGGGATCGCACCGGAATTCACATTTTGAATCCACAATAAACAACAATCCAGACTGGAAACGTTTCTGGGACTGACAAGACAAAATCTGAGCTTTTTGACTTTAGTCGCTTCAGTTGTACTTTTATGACTGTGGCAGGATACCAACAAATTAATCTGCATTTCCAGCTCCTACCTGCCTGTCGCAATAATCAATAAATCAATTAGTCGCATGATAAATGAAAATTATCCACCCATTTTCATGTATCGGCTTGTATCATTTCATGTCTCTCTTTCTACTGAAGACGCTGGATGACAAAAAGACTCAACTCCGGTTCTTCACTGACCCCTCCCTTTCTCCTTTCTCTTTAAATTCTGTTTTAATTGTCCAAAATCTCGTTTTTAAATCGTTAAAAGCACAGACATTTATAATGTATATGGTTAAAAGAAGCTAAGCTACGAGCTAAGCTAACAGGCCGACCTCGGGGAAAAAAACCTCTGTTTTGTCGAAGCTCCAAAATTCACGTTTGAAACTCGTGCCTTCGTGTAAAAAGTTTTTTTTTTTTCTGCAAAAAGAAGCTGAGAACTAAAAAACTTTGTGTAAAAAATGCTAAAGAGCTCAAACCACACGAGCGTCTGCCATTTTGAGAACCGACAAAAGGGAAAGAGAGACAGCCCATGTCACATCAGGAGGCCTCCCTCCCATTTTTCTTAAAGAGACACGCTGCTCGCTCCCTCACTATCCATCCTTCTGTTCACACAGTCTTATACTGCCATCCAGTAGTCAATAAAGGTACTACACTCAACAAATTAACCAACATTTCTTCTTAAATTTGACAATAATGACTAATTATTGTCAAATTTCAAACAATATTATCGTTTATCACAATAATTTCTGAGGCAATTAATCGCCCAGCAGAATTTATCGTGACAGGCCTGTTCCTACGTTTGATTCGACTGTTGAAACCAGAAGGTTTTTCAACATTTGGCCTTTTCAAAGTTTAATCAGCTGTTCTGTGCTTATGAGCCAGAAAGCTTTTTAAATTGTTTTTGTAGTTCGAGCACGACCTGGAAAGAATTAGAGTTTTTCCACTTTATAAAAAATAACCGCAGTTCCAATGGGTCTGGTTTACAAAGAAGATCTAACACGTCATGATCAGTCCTCAGATCAGTCCTTGCTGCTGCTGGTTCCTCTGATGCAGCGTTGTGTTCTGTTTGTAGTTCACCACCCACAACACTTTGTGTTTGTCTGTTTCAGCACAAATTGTGTCTGTCAGTACAAAGACAACATCAGCCGCGCACGCCATAACTCACGCCACATCCTGTCAGGATTTTAAAGCTGCCGTACATATCACATTCCCTTTTTCACAGCTTCTCTCTCTCTCTGCTTCTCTCCTCGACTCAGAGTAAATTACTTCTGAAACACCAGAACTGTGGATTTGCTCAGAGAAAATGTCTCTTATTTTCCTGCTAGATAAAAAGGTGTTAACCCTTTCCTTTCAGGACACTCAAAGACTGAAGAAATGCTGTTTTTGATCTTTATTTCCTAACATACGTGCACTTTTCCACTCCTCAGGGATGCGAAGAACATGGCTAAAGATGTGAATGGGACCCTGGTGGAGATGATTAAAGAGGAGCTTCACGTGGACCAACTGGAGGCCATGAAGAAACTGGCACAGCTTCGAGAGGAGAAGCGCTACTTACAGGACATCTGGGCCTGACTGTAGCGGAGCATCTGCTCCAACACTTCCAGTAAAACCTCTACAACCACAAATTAGCTGCTGCTGGAGCCTACAGGCTATATTACATCGCCCGGTGCCACTAAGATGGAGCGACCCGTGTGACCCGTGGGTATCCGTTCCCTCCGCCTCCTTCGCCTCCGCTGTTTGGACCGAGCCGACCTTGGCTGAGGCAGCGATGCAGGAGACCAGTGCAACGAAGGCTTTTAGTGGTTTTGGCCTCCTTCCTGATGAAAAGCTGTTTATTACTGGAGTGACTGGGACGAGGCTGAGCGGGGACGGAGCTCCCGCCTGAAGGAAACGGCTTCAGTCCGTCGTTCTTCAACAGCAGAACAGGAACGTGGCCGTCGAGCGAAGGAGGAGGTCGTTTTCATCCGAGAAACGCTCGTTGGCTGGAAATGTTCAGGTGCTGCCACCCGACTCCGGCTTTTAAAGCCGGTTGAAAAGAAGTGTTGAGTTTTTCATTTGACTTACAGAAACATAACGACTTGTTTTTATCATGCAGGATGATTTTCAGTGAGTTGATCATTTTAAAATATGAAATATCTCATAAATGTTTCTAAGTTTTGTGACTATAATTATGATCCTAACAAAATAAAATGACTTGATTCATCAAAGTAAATAACTAATTATTATTTTTTTGTAGCGTTTGGCCCATAATGAAAGCTGCTACTCTTTACAATGTCATGAAGTCAAAAAACGTCCACGTGTTTGTTTTCCTACAGAATCGGCTAAAACGAGTTAAGAACTCGCCGTTTTGAAGTCGTTGTGCAAATTTAGGCTCAAATTTGTAAAGTAAGCATTTAAAGGGCTTTGTTTACATTGAATTCATCAGTATATGGAAAACTACCGGACTAAACCTAAAAACGTTGTCAGGTCCTCGGGACAGGTTCAAAAAGCAAACAAAAAACAAAGTACAAACGTTTCGTCTTTCATCCAAAAGACTTCCTCAGTGTGAGAAGCTGTCTTCAGCCCAGTCTCTTAAATAAATAGCACCTCGCACTTCTCTGAAGGACCTGACTTAACTCTTTTAGATGTTTCTACTGGATTATTGAGCAGCATCACGATACCGGACTAAACATTTTCAAACTGCTCTATTTGATTTAGTTCTGGAGAACTTTTTGATGTTTGGGTTTATAGTTGGCAGGAAGTACCTTTCAATTGCCCACATTAAGTTTGTTTGCTGGTTTATTCTTGAGTACAGCTTTAATGGGGCTTTTATGTTTAAATCTATAAAAAGTTAGTTGTAGCTTCTCTTCAAAGCTTCTGAAATGTGCGTTCTGTTCACAGTGGGTTATAAATAGATTGAATGTTGCGTTTGGCACAAGGCATGTGCCAAACGTGTTCTAGAATTGCGCCGCTCGGGGTGGATGCGTGTTGGAGCAGCTCTCTTTCATTCTGAGATTTTCTTTTGAAAACTTTTAATTCCTCTTCTTTCTGGATGTAAAATCGCTTTTAAGCTCCAATAATACCTCAGCTACAACTTCAAAAATACCAGACGAGTTGAAAAGGAGGTGCCGTGGATGCATTCCCATCTACCGGAAGATGATGTTCAGGTGCCTGACTGCCAAAATCCTGGAGCTGGTGGACAACGTGGCTTGTGACAGCGGGTTGACCAGGATCATCCCTCAACTCCTACAGTACCATGTGGGGACCAGGAAACCAGGATGATGAGCTACAACAATTCATTTCTCTCTGGCATTAATAAAGTAATTCTGAATTGAATGCAAGAAACTACAAATGGAGGTTCAGTCTGCTGCAGGAGACGAACCTCTGCTGTCAGTTAGGATCTTTGCCACAGAAAAGGAGAAGTAAAAATCCACTGATGAGAATAGTAATAAATACTTAAAGTTTTCCTCCCACCCGTCAGAGGCACAGTTTGAAGTCGGTGCAGCAAACCTCAGTGATGATGAGCAGCCTGGTCAAACTGACCGCCTGACCCCCCCGCAGAACCCCCGTTTACAGAAATACTTTGGATTTTTTTCCACCAGCTCAAACCGTAAACGTGACTTTAAATAAGATAATGAATAAAATGTTAAATTTAACTAAACAGCCCTGTAAGCTGCTCTTTATCGTTTTTCTTGCGTTCGCAGGTGTTTACAGATGGTCCTACTTCAGGTATGATGAACTGCTGGACACCACGCACGTACTGAAGTAAAATTCACTCTGTTGTTTCCGTGCTTTTTATTGATTTATTTATTTTTCCTACAATTTAACTACTTGTTTTAGTCATTTGTGAAACTTCCAGCCCCTTCATGAAGTTTGTTGAATGAGCTCTGATTCTGCTACTTTGAGTTTCAGCCAGCCTTTAATTACTTTGATCTTTTAATGAGCATGTTGCTTCTTGTGCCTTCTGAATAGTGTTCTGCTTTTTGTAAATTAGTTTTTAACTTCTCTAATGTTCTGACTCTTTTAGCTTCAACAACTCATTTTCAGTCACTTTCAACAAGGAGGTTCATTTGCTCCGTGTTTTTACAGGAAAATGTAAATGTCCAGTTTTCATTCTTGAGATTTTTATGACAAACGTGATTCTGCTGTGCCATCAAACTTACTTTGTACAGTGTGGTACAAGTTATGTTTTATTTATTTATACTGTAATTTATGGACTATGGAGCGCACCTGAATAGAAGCCACACCCACTAACTTAAAAAAACTACATGTTTAAGCTACACGTGTCTATAAGCAGCAGGTGTCCACGTTGTAATGTGAAATATTTACACAACAAAAAATAAAATTAAATACCAGTAACAAACAAATACGCACACTAAATGTTTTTTTTCTGAACAGTGCCTTTAACACGACTGGTAAAAAATAAAATAAATACTGGTTCAGTGCCAGGAAAAGTCATTGAACGCCATCTTCATCTTCCTCCTGTGCACTAAAACCAAAGTCTTCTTCAGTGCCAGAATTGAACAGCCTCAGAATGACATCATCATCACACGTCCTCCGTCTCTTCCGCTGTCGCTCTCAACTTCACTTTCATCTCGAGGCAAATTCGCTCTTGACCTTGTGCCGTCCTCTCCATCACGCAGCAGCCTCTTTTTTTACACTGCTCCACGCTGTCAGGATCCGCTGTCAGGATCCACTGTCAGAATCTGTTGCCGGGATCCACTGTCAGAATCTGTTGTCAGGATCCACTGTCAGGATCTGTTGCTGAGATCCACTGTCAGGATCTGTTGTCAGGATCCACTGTCAGAATATGTTGCCGGGATCCACTGTCAGAATCTGTTGCAGGGATCCACTGTCAGAATATGTTGCCAGGATCCACTGTCAGGATCTGTTGTCAGGATCCACTGTCAGAATATGTTGCCGGGATCCGCTGTCAGGATCTGTTGCTGAGATCCACTGTCAAGATCTGTTGTCAGGATCCACTGTCAGAATATGTTGCCGGGATCCACTGTCAGAATCTGTTGCAGGGATCCACTGTCAGAATATGTTGCCAGGATCCACTGTCAGGATCTGTTGTCAGGATCCACTGTCAGAATCTGTTGCAGGGATCCACTGTCATAATCTGTTGTCGGGATCCACTGTCATGATCTGTTGTCAGGATCCACTGTCAGAATATGTTGTCGGGAATCCACTGTCAGGATCTGCTATCAGGAGCCACTGTCAGAATCTGTTGCCGGGATCCACTGTCAGAATATTTTGTCGGGATCCACTGTCAGGATCTGCTGTCAGGATCCACTGTCTGAATCTGTTGACATGATCCACTGTCAGGATCTGCTGCCAGGATCCACTGTCAGGATCTGCTGTCAGGATCCACTGCTAAGATCTGCTGCCGGGATTAACTGTCAGGATCTGTTGTCTAGATCTGTTATCAGGATCCACTGTCAGGATTCACTGCTGGGATCCACTGCTGGGATCCACTATCAGGATCTGCTGCCAGGATCCACTGTCAAGATCTGCTGCCAGGATCCACTGTCACGATCTGTTGTCAGGATCCACTATCAGGATTTGCTGTCAGGAACCACTGTCGGGGTCCACGGTCAGGATCCACTGTCAGGATCTGCTGTCAGGATCTGCTGGCAGACTTAAACAAAAGTTGTTCTTTGCATGAGGCCAGTTCGGTAAACGATTTTTCGCTGCCAGTCATCCACGCCTCCCACTAAGATCGGAGTCCCACATTAATGATCAATTCACACTGATGTCGAGCGGTTGCAAATACTTTATTGTGCCCCCAGGGATCACGTGTTTCACGAGATCACGAGACGTGTTTTGGCAGCTACGTGAGCACCCGGGTGTGACGAGGGTAAATGTTTTGGCAGCATGAAGCTCGTTAGTCCATAAAAATCCATAGATTAGCCGCATCATTGTATAAGCCGCAGTGTTCAACATGTGAAAAAGTAGCAGCTTATAATCTGGAAGTTACAGTATTTCTAATTTTGCACTGTGACATGTAAAAGTGTCATTTTTAAAAAGTGCAGGTAAAGCTGAAGTCGTGCAGTGGATTTTAGAATATGCTGCAGAGGGTTTGAACGCATCACCTGCCTCCTGACCTGGGTTTATAAAGTTTAAGCTCCTGAACTGGTGAGTTGATGTTAGAAAGAATAAAAATGGATGAGTAGATTTAAACGAGCAGCCTGAAGATAACGTAATTAGCCTCGATGGGCTGAGCAGTTCTTAGCAGTTCGTGCTGTAAAGTTAGTTTCCTGTGAAGTTGTTTTGCTGCAGATGTTACCAGTTTAATGTTTATCCTGCTTCTGCTGCTTTTGAAAATCCATTAGGTCGTCGATGGATGGATGGATGGATGGCTGGATGGCTGGATGGATGGATGGATGGATGGATGGCTGGATGGCTGGATGGATGGAGTTTACCATAAATCATGTTTCTTTTTGTGCAGATGGAGTCCTCTGGTAATTTTGGGATGGCACACCAAAACCCCAAAGCCATGCATTTTCTTTAAGGCCTCCCTGATGAAACTGTCCCTGGTCAGGTTTAGTCGTTGACCTCTGACCTCGACTGTTTAAAGGTTTGTGAGTGAGCTTGCAGCGAACTATGACAGGAGACTTGGCCATGTTTGAGACGCAGTGGGAATTATTTGGGAGCTAATGAACACTGATTGACTGGGAGGGATGGTTGTATTTAAATTTAAAGATAATTCAATTCTTCAAGGTGACTTTGGATGAAAGATGAAGGCACTCTCTGCTAAGTGAAGGCTCTTTATGGGCTTCTAAATGCAGCCCCAGAGAGATGCTTCTTAGGATTAAATCTTCCAACACAAGTCTCTTTATTTATCTTCATGAGGCGGAGAGGAAGGAAAAAAGGTGTTTACATTTTCTCCTGTGTGCGCCCACAGATCGCTCCTGGTTCTCTGCCTTTTTGAGTCAAACAAACAAGACATTTGCAGGAAATGGTCCCTGATGGAGAGAACCTGGTTGGTGCTGTCCTTGTGTTTGTCCTGGCACAGCTGTCTGCACCTCCTCACCCTCATCCCCGTGTCCTCCTGCTTCCACTGCTCACAAAATGAAAATAATGATGCTGGATGCACCTAACAGCACCAC